GTAGCTAGGCCTCAAAAACACAATGACCCTTTTGATAATAATAAGATAAGATCGAAAGAGAGATCACAGGCAGCAAGTAGTTGAGGTACACCTACAGCTACTGACTGACTCAGATATATTGAACGCGTCGGCCTGTCCTCTCTCTCTCTCTCTCTCTCTATATATATATATATATATCAACAGCCATATCTATCTTTAGGGAAAATAATGCCCCTTGATTTCTTTATTAGTAAATCTTGAGATATCAACAGCCATATCTATCTTTAGGGAAAATAATGCCCCTTGATTTCTTTATTAGTAAATCTTGAGGAGGAGGAGAAACGAAATTAAGAAAGAAGAATAAATGGCAGTCAGAAAATTTGGGGGAGGAGGGGGAGGTTCCAGGAGCACAGGAGAACCGCTTCTTGGCGGCGAATGCGATGACGGAGCTCGACGACTAATTCATGATGGCGGATCATCTGCGGGTGTTACTTTTGCTAGGACCTGTTTCAATGCTACCAACGCCCTCTCAGGTCTACTCCCCCCTCTTCCTTTCTTTGTTGTTTTATGGATTTGAGTCCTCTCCGTTAAAAAAGGAAAATGGTACAGGCACACCCCCAGACACACCTTGTGTCACACCTCCTCTCTCAGCTACAGTGCACGGGGCCCACATATGAGATTAAAAAATCTCATGTGTGGACCCCGTGTACTATAGCTGAGAGAGGATGTGTGACACAAGATGTGCGTGTGCCTGTAGTGCCACCCGTTAAAAAAATACTTGAAATACCACCACTTTAATTAGTTACAACCGTCGATTTGTTTAGTAAGGACGTACCAGTTCTCTGTCTATCCCAATATTTTATTTGATGATAGAAAACAATGGATTTGTATCCTCTTTTATTAAATGATATTGAATGGCGCAATAAATGATTATGATTTTTTTTTTACTTTTTTTTGGCAAATAATTAAGGTACTAATTCAAATATGAGAAAACCGTGAAGACCAACCCTCATTCTATATATTTCTTTTTCACTTCAATTAAATAAAGATAAAGCGTAAACGTAGTGTAAAACAAGGGTGTCAGTAACAACAACACGAGCTATACAAAATGCAATATCCAAATATAGGTGTATTCCCAAAAAAACAAAAAATAATAATAAATGTCTTTTTAAGATCCGGAGAAGGGGATGGTAACAATCATACTCCCTTTAAAATCACGAGTTCGGAAAATCTTTTTTAGACGAATATACCCCTTTATAGTTTGAACTATCTTATCTATAATCAAATTCTAATTTTTAATGGTCAATATTACCCTTCACTATTTTGAATATTTTATTTATATCTTAATCTATCCTAATCATAATCATATCTTATCCTAATCCTATGTGAACCATGTTTAGATTAACAATTTAAAAAAACTAAAATATTAATAAAATATATAAAACATAAAAATGATATTAGTTTGTTAAGATAAAGAAATTACAAGTTGATAACATATTATAATACATGAAGTATTGTAAAAAAACCATAAAAAGTTTTAAAATTGCAGAAAAGACCCTGAAAAGTTCAAAATTATAAAACTCATCCAAATGTCTCAAAACTTAAAATAAAAAACATAAAATTAAAAAATTAACATCAGTTTGCAAAGAATTTAAAATTTACAGTTAACACTTCAATGTCTCAAAAATTATAGAAACACCCTCAAAAGTTTAAATTACAAACAAGCACATTAAAATTCCAAAATTTTAAAACTTACAAACAACACAGATGAATTCAAGAGATTACCATGATATACCTAAAATTTTTGATATTTAAATTTAAATTTTTTAATTAACACCCTTAATATCTTAAAAATTATAGAAACACCTTCAAAAGTTTAAATTATAAAAAGCCACCCTAAAATTCTAAAGTTTGTAAATAAAATAAGATGAATTCAAGATATTACCCTTAGACACCTAAAAAATTAAAATTTGCCAAAATTAACCTCAAAATTTTTAAAAAACTCCTTCAAATTTTAAAAATCGTAAAAAAAACTCTAAATTTTCAAAAATTTTAACTAGCACACATCAAATTCGTCGATTGGTAGACCGCTGAAATTTAATATTTTTCAAAATTAATATATAGTTTTAATAATTACAAAAGACACCCTCAAAATTTTAGAGTTACAAGAAATATACTAAAATTTAAAAAATTACCACCAACACATGAAACATAGAATTTACAACTACCAAACTTAAAAGTAAATTTTTTTAAAAGCTCTTTCAAAATTTTAAAAATTATAAATCACACCCTCAAAGTTCAAAACCACAAAAATGGGCTAAATTTTTAAAACTTGGCAAAGAAAAGTATAATTATTTGGTATTTTTCATATATATATATATAGAGAGAGAGAGAGATTAATGGGTATCCTTGTCATAGGAGGGGATTTCCTCCTTGACGACTCTAAAATCACATGATTGAGCGACATTGTGGATGATCCGCTCCGTTGAATTTGATCTACATATTCTAAAACCCCAACACACCAAGTTTATATATATATATATTAAAATTTCTAATTTAAGGATTTACTATCCATTTTCAGCATCTAAGAATAGTCTAATGAAGTTGATACTGGTAAACAAAAACAATAAGAATTGATTAAAAACATCCGGTTAATGGATAAAATTTTTCAAAATATTATAGATTAAAAATTATCGGCACTATATAAATTAAAGTAATTTCATATAATTTTAGTAATAAGTTGGGGTAGCCAAAATACATTCGTAACATTAATTGATAGATGTTTAAATCCATAGAAATGATAAAACACTATAATATTATACCTTAGCATTAATTGATTTTAATTTAGAAACTTTAATCTTTGACGTTAATAATATTTATAGGGTAAAAGAATACAAGGAGTTACATATGGAGAAACTATTAGAATATTTAGAGATAACTTTAAAAGAATTGAGTTATTTCCATTGCAAATGGGAAAGTGATGAAAATAAATCTAAAATTCAAAAAACGTCAATGAATCACTTGAATTAGCATTAACATAAGACATATCTATTAATGAAGCACTGAATGAGCTACATTAAAAAATAATTTAATAACTTTATCCTAATCAAAGAAAAAATCTCCATGGAAGACATAAGAAAAATTAGTAAGTATTCATAAATTCCATACCGTGTTCTTCAAATTAAATATTAATATTATAATCTAAGAAAAATTAGTAATGAATAATGCAGGTATTTAGCTTAGATCTTTATGAAAAATGACAGGGATAGAGCAAAGATAATATTATTGAAATAACAGAAATTATTATTGGATGCACATCAGAAGAATTCATTTTAGAGGAAAATAAAGAGATAGCTTCTAATTTATTTAAGTAATAAATTAGGAACACAAAGAATTTTATATATATGAAATTAATATTTATTCTCATTGAAATAGAAAAAAAATCAAAGTCTATATTTTGAGCAGTTTGTGTTGAACATCATAAGTACATTTGACTTCTTTGTAAAGTTAAATGAGATGATAAAAAATTAACGAGCCTAGGAAAGATAATAGCATAAAAAATACAAAATTAGCCTGATGTCACAATTGATGTAGATGATGAAGACAATACTCTAGAATTGTCCGAGAAATGATAAATGATAAACCTGAAGAAGGATTGATCTTAACTCAATAAAAAATAAAATAGAAGAAATAAAAACAATATTTTATGAATATTTTATAGAATAGTTTAATTATTTTGAGTGAAATTAGGAATCTTTAGAAGGGAGTTTCATGAATTTTTTTCAGTACTTTTATATTCTTATGTGGATGTTTTTATCATATAAAAGTATACTAGAGTTAGCATTAATCTTTAATTTATATTTTTTTATGAAGTCTATCAATGATTAGGAATAAACTTCATATTCTCTTTTGCATCGTTTTAACATACTTTAAATCAATTATTTTGTCATATTGGTTTTAAATATTCACCTTCCTTGTATAACACTATTTTAATATTTTTCACTTTGCAATGCTATACTTTCTCAAATAAAGCTTAGTTTCATATCGGTCAAAAATAATATGAAAATTCAAATTATTTTTAAATTATATTTGTTTTTTGTCGATTCAAATATCAACATGAAAATTTAAATTTGGGTGTATCTCATTTAAACAAACATAAAAAAATAATCATGACGTAAGAGTTTAAAGAAAAAAAATGAGCACAAACTGTCAAAAATACTTAATCATAGTGTAAAAACTAGTTGATATATATCTTTGAGTGCCCTTGTTCTTCTTCTGAACCGTCCATAGGCGGATTCAGCAAAACTTTCTTAGGAGAAGGTAAAATAAGTATATAATTATCCAAAAGTTCTAAGACTATAATCTTGACAGATGGGCTAATTAAATTCCAAACTCAAATGGGGTGGTGAGAATATTTTTAAATATTGGGAGCAAATTGTAAGTTCGCACTATTTTAGAATGTAATTTTACCTAATCTTGGAGGGGTTCAACTGCCCCCAAGATTATATATTTACATCCTACCCCTGGAACCATCATTACCATTTAATTAGGTTGCATGCATTATTATCCTGGATTAACGGTGCAGTCGCATTCATCTTTGTGTCACAATTATGTTTTCCATATTTTGATTGCGTAGAAAATCAGTGTTTGTTGATCCGTTACCAATTTACCATTTTAGTACCGTTAGGAACTTTGGAGAGTAGGGATTTGTGAGGCACACCCCCTGAAGTTAAATGGGTTTTATTAAATCTTTTCTTCCTCCCTTATTTTTAATTACTTTTTTGTGAAACTTAGCCAACTTTTGAATTCGACTTTCCCCAGTCCGAGACGTGTTCGATCCTAACTAACTTTGAATTCGACCTTCCCCAATCCGAAACGACGTGTTGAGCGGTGATTCGAGCCCAGAGGCACCCGTGAGCCAAAAGACTCGTAGAGGAGCTCCACTTCTTTAACTTCAAGTTTTTTAATTCTTTTTTTTCAAACCCCTCATCCCTATCGCACGACAATCCAAAACAAGAGCGGACCGACCGTGACTCCAATGATTAATCGATTTCATTTAGTGGACAAGGGACTTCAGTGGTTTGATAGCGTTGGAAATATTAGCCACGTACACGATCATATCTCTGTTCTCTCATCGTCTACTGTAGCTAGGTTAGCTAGGAGAAATTAATAAGAAAACAAAGAGAGTTCGTAGCTTACACGAGCTCGGCTGCCTCCAAGAATTTGGATTTATTTGGATGGTTCCGTCCTGGTTAATTGAAAGCGACAGATAAAACATTCTGTATCTGTCAGAGGATGCAATTCATCCTAACTAAATCTTTGTGGCGAAAAGTTGTTATGAAACTGACCAAACTACGTATTGGTACATCCTAACATCTGGGCTATGTATCCTAACAATTTTAATTTTAGTTCTAACATATATCATCTTCCATATTTACAAATTTACCCTCTTCAAATCTTGGTATTTGTAAAATTATCCTCCAGTTATTTCACATTGAGTTCTCTACCTCTCCCACTCGGCGGTCCTAGTTTTAAAGCGGAAAATACTGCAAACCTAGTGTGGGGGTTGCAAATGCCAAGATTTAAGGGTATTTGCATAGATGATGGAACCAGATACGAGACTTGTTAAAATTCTAATATTTGAGTAACATATGTCCATTTCTATGTATCAAACGTGTTGAGTTATTTAGATAGATTAAGTTAATTAGTTAATGTTGTAAGGACCTATTTGTAAGAGTGCATTAATATAAAAGGGTACCCCTCTATATGAGAGTAAAAAAACCCTAATTTTTACCCCAAAACACTTCAAAACGGCACCCGGTAACTTCAAATACTTGAAAAATCTGTTTAGACTTGATTTTTTTTGTAATTTAAGGGATCTATCTTGGTAGCTTGCAAAGCTTCAGCGTTGATGGCGTGCGCTGCCTACGAAACCAATCACAGGCATCTAGAACAGTTATTATTAGTATTTGTGTTAGCGGCGTGAGTCTTGCACATTGACCTCTTCCTTTGGCGACCAATTCTAGATCATCACGGGACTCGCTATAAAAGAACACTAAGGTGCGTGAACACTTGAGGCACTTCTCCAGATCTTCTGCTTCCCCTCTGAAATAAAAAGAAGTCGAGGGAATGGCCAACGGAAATTTCTCCAGACCTTCGACCGCCAAACCAGCGTTAGCCGTAGCAGGCGGAGGCGACGTCGATGCCCTCCTCGGAGAGCCGCTCCTTGTCAATATTGGGCGTGGAGAAAAGGAGGGGGATCATCGCGGTGCTGGGGTTACATTCAGTAGGACTTGTTTCAACGTAGTTAACGTCCTCTCAGGTTCCTTACGTTTCCCCTATAAAAAAAGTTGTATAACATGCTAAGGTGTGTAATAATTAATTTAGGGGAAATTAATCTGTTGATCGTATTCATGCCGTGGTACGTACGTATGACTTCAGTGCCAATTACCATATTCGTGCATCTTTTCTTCCCCTTTTTGATTTACGAGCAACTGTTAGTTTACGTCATTATGGTTACCGTGCCCTGTCCTATGTCATAGTTGCGGTATTTTACTTAGTTTATGTCATTATATGAAAAGAAACTTGCAAAATCTGTCATATATATAATATGCTCTGATTCTCTCTTGAAGGTATCGGGGTGCTATCAATGCCATACGCGCTCGCACAAGGCGGATGGTCGAGCTTAGTACTCTTCCTTGTTGTCATACTAGTCTGTTGCTACACTGGATCTCTGATCCAAAGATGCATGGACGCCGACCCTCTCACTCAAACCTACCCCGATATTGGAGAAGTTGCATTCGGTTACAAAGGGAGGATAGCTATCGCGATCTTAATGTATCTCGAGTTGTATCTAGTTGGGGTCAGTCTTTTGATACTAGAAGGTGATAACCTGGACAAGCTTTTTCCTAACACTAGTCTTGAAGTTGCGACGTTGAGCATCAAAGGCAAGCAGCTCTTCGTCTGTGTGGCCGCTCTTATTGTTTTGCCTACAACATGGTTGAGGGATCTTGGCGTTCTTGCTTATTTCTCTGTTGCTGGAGTCCTGGCATCAGCGATTTTGTTGGCTTCTTTGTTCTGGACCGGCGTAGCTGAGACTGGGTTTCGTGCCAAGGGAAAGGCTTTGAGCTTGGAAGGTTTACCGACAGCCTTGGGTCTGTATTTTGTATGTTTTACGAGTCACGCAGTTTTCCCAACCATATATGCATCAATGAAGGATAAAGTTAGATTTCCCAGGGTAATCACCAGTTCGTTTTTAAAAGCGAAATTCGACTCTCTTATTGTTTTAACTGATAAGTGAACTCTCATAAACGACCCTATATGCCGGTTCATACTCTGGCTTTTATTCGCCATCAACCACCTTGAAATTTCCAAATCTATCCTCCAGATGAACCGAAACTTAAATATTAACAAGATTTCCTTGCTTTACTTTTTCATTGCAGGTATTGCTAATTTCTTTTGCTATATGCACTCTGAACTATGGGCTAGTTGCAATCCTGGGTTATCTCATGTACGGTGAGGACCTGCAATCCCAAGTGACGCTAAATCTCCCTTCTGGAGAACTCTACTCCGACATAGCAATTTATGCAACGCTGATCAATCCGTTTGCTAAATACGCATTAACAGTCACACCAATTGCAATGGCTATAGAAGAACGTGCTGCCCTTCATCGAAAGGGCTACACTAGCATCGTTGTCAGAACTCTCTTGCTGATGAGCACAGTGATAATAGCTTTGAAGATTCCATTCTTTGGCTTCATCATGGCATTTATTGGATCATTTCTGAGCATCATGGTCTCTGTCATACTTCCGTGTTTGTGCTACCTCAAGATTTTTAAGGCTTCAATAAAGTATGGACTTGAGCTACTGAGCATCATAGCAATCTTAGTAGTTGGAGTTTTGATTGCTTTCGCGGGTACTTACTCATCGGTTCGAGACATTATTCACAACTTGTAAAATTATTTATGACCCTGTCTGGATTTTATCTCTTGTTGTCAGCATACACAGCATTGTGGCGATTTTATGCGAGCTTATTAAAATAGAGAGAAAGGAGTCATCCTTATATCCTATAAAGGCCTTTTTCTTTTGGAAATCCCTTGTTTATCAGCACAAGTAATGTAATCCTGGAGATCAATCGTGTGACTAGAATGTGACCTCATTCATTTATAAGCACTGGCGACCTGAAGAAGATGTTTGGACTGAGCTGGGGAAATCGTTGGATTTCTGATGGTTATCTTGGCGTTAAATCATCAAGTATAGTTTCTCCTGTAAAAAATTTAACCTCATGTACATCTCTTGCTATATATCTAACATACCTTATTTTTCTCAAATAAAACAAAATAAATTAAATTAAAAAGCTAACCATACCTTCCCTGTTGCAATTGAGCTGCTGTCTGCAATGAAAGAGTATTTACTTTCTTATACTTTCCGTTTAATGGAAATTAGTGTTTTGTCTTATTTACTTTCTTATATTTTAATTTTCCTAACGGAAAACAAATAGCTCGCCCTTGTGGATGTCTGTGTTAGTAACAGGCTTCAGTTGGGGGTCTGACTCTGATCTGCTGACTTCTAAACATTGTATTCATTATTTACATGTTAAATACCAAAATTTACTCATCAAGTCCTCTGTATCACCATAATTTATAACATAACATTGCATTCATTACGTAACATTCATCCTTGTTAATTTTTATCAGATATACAGTGGATAGATGAAGTCCTAACTCATTATGGTAGATGTTCACAGATATTAAATCTCGCATAAGGAGGAATTACATGCTTATAGATTCTGTATAATCTGCTTTAATGAAGTATATGTACCAATGACCGCAATCGCTGCTCCCAATGCTGCAATTGCTATTATAATGACTAACTCCATTCCCAAACGCCGACTATTCTTGAAGACCTTGAGGTAGCATATGCTTGGTAGTAGCATTGTAGCAGTGCTGCTGAGGAATGAACCTGTCAAGGCCACCACGTATCCAAAAAATGGTACAGTTAAGGCTAAAACCACTGTACTGATTGCTAGCCCAGTTCGAATCAGGATGCTAATAGACCTTAGCTTTGAGAGTTCAAACCAATCCTCAATTGAATTTGCAATGGGCATCAAAAGCAACGCGTACTTAGTCAGTGGGTTGATTAGAGTTGTGTAGATTGCAATCTTCGAGCTCAATTTCCCGACCGGAAGATTCAACGTGACTTGTGGGTTCACAGCTTGGCCATACATCAAGTATCCAATAATGGCCATTAGTCCATACATCAACGTGCACAGTACGAAGCAGAGGTATAATACCTGAAACAGAGATTGGGGAGTACCTTGTATTAGAGACGCTTTGACATTAAGAACTAGGAAGCGCTATTTATTTTAGTTTATTTTACTTACTTTGGAGAAGATGGTCCTGTCTTTCATGGAGGTGTATATCGTAGGGAAGACCGAATGCCCGCTGAAGCAGAAAACGTACAAACTTAAAGCGGTTGGAATACCCCTCCAATTCACAAGGATTCCCTTCTCGTGAAACCCGACACCATCAATAGCTCCGGCCCAAAGTACACAACAGACCACAATGAGAGAAGACAGAACCCCACCAATCGACACGTAAGCAAGCACGCCCAAGCTCCGTAACCATGTAGTAGGCAAAACTATAAGACCCGCAAGCAACACGAATCCCTGCTTCCCTCCAATCTTTAGTCTGCCCATGTTAAAGTTTGCGGTTGGAAATAACTTGTGCAGGTTATCACCTTCTAGTATCATGAACTCAATCGCGGCTAAGTAGAGCTCAAGGTACATGAAAACACACACTACGATTCTGCCCCAAGACCCAAACGCTAGCTCCCCAATATCAGGATAGGTTCTAACAAGAGAGTTAGAGTCCATACATCTCTGTAGCAGTAAACCAGTGTAACAACATATTATGCCAATGAGGAGGAAAAGCGCCAAGCTTAGCCATCCTCCTTCTGATAATGCATACGGAATTGATAAAATCCCAACACCTGGATAGCACGAGGAACGTAATTCTTTACTCTATTTAAAACCTTGTAATATTGCATAAAGAACGATAGGATGAATGAAGATTGCAGTTGAAACAAAAGAGATTAAATTCTCAACCTGCAAGAGTGTTGACTCCGTTGAAGCAAGTTCGAGAGAAGGTAGTGCCTGTCTTTGAAGGTAAATGAGGGTCCATTACTCTTTGGCTTGGTACAAGTAAGAGTTTACAGATGACAACGGGTTTATAAGGAGTGAAGCGTCTTGGATATGAATTGAAAATACAGTGATGATGAGTAGACATCCATTTAATACGTATTTAAATGGAAAGAAGAAAAGGTTTCATGATTCAAGGAGCCCACACCTATGACGCTTCTGTGAGATCTCTAGCTTTTTGAACATGAGGGATTTGAGGCCACAGGAGAATCGTGAGGCTTCCACCCTTTGCTCAGTGGACAATTCATGATTCCTTTCTCTAGTAAATATTTCTTGCTCTTTCGTTACTAGTAGATAGCCATGCTCAAATTCTTAAATACCTTGGGTATATATGACACGATATTTTCTTGTTAATTTCGACAAAGCACGCATTGGATCAGTGACGTAGCTAGGGGTGCTCAAGGTGATACATTTGAAATTATAACCTCTTGTATAGATTACACCTATTTAGCTGTCCCCTGGTAAGATCATATAATGTTTAGAAAACTAAAGCTACTTGAACTCTCTATCGATATGTTTAACTTTTAATAAAATACTTGCTGCTTTATGTGATCGCTGCCGCTAATCTTATTAGCATTTGTTACTTCCAGCTGAATCACGCAACTGATTTCCCTTCATCATTCCGTAGAAACTGCTGGGGTACATTATCTTGTCACAAGCTCATACTCAAAAACTAAAAGGGAACTACTTTCAGTTTGTTGATATAGAGAGGGAAAAGAGAAATTTCAGAAACATAGAAAAAAAAAACATATTTCAAAAATATTACGAGCTAGGGCGGTAAAACACATTGCTTCCTCTCCGTGTCCATATGTTCTTTAGTCCAGTTTTACAGCATGTGCATGCTAACTTGTTTCTAAACTTTCTGAAATAAGTTACTGTTTCATTATCTGGTTGTAGCCAATTTCCCCAGATGAGTACATACGGTTAATCTATTGTTTATCATGGTGTTGCTTGATTACGCCAAGCATATTCTCATTTGTCGCTTTAGTGCCTAATCAATATAGCTTTAACCCATCAAGCTGAGTGAGAGATAATGTTACATACTTCCCCCCTTAAGGATATTAATTTTTACTGTGGTGCTATTAATTAATTAAAAAACAGAGGTGTTGGTGCACAAGTTGAAAATAGAAATCTTCCCGTTTGTGTGTACATTCAGCTAATCATTGTTGCATTACTTGGATCACGTTTTAAACAATGCAGCAAAGATGAAGTTGCCTTACCTTTCTTTTTATTTTATTTTTTTATTTTTTTATTTTTTTATGTTTTTTCTATACCTGTCATGACTAATGCATAAAATTCAACCGAAAAGCAAATGTTTAGATTGGGTGTTACCACATCCTAGAATGGGGCTAAGAGAAGCGACGATGAGAAAATTGTGAGATAGGAATTAGGTGTTTGTTTGCTGTCTTTGTGACATTTTATAAATCGTGGTCTACATATGACATAGTAGTCCAAATGCACATACGAAATCCTGAAGAATTCAAGACGTACCTGAATAAGCCAAAAGTACAAGTATATTTGTATTTGCATGTCTCATTTTCCGTGGAAGGGGAATGATACCTGCCTTTTCAGGGTGGGTTCCTTTTGCGGATGTCAAATTTAGCAAGGAAAAGGTTACTTGGACTCTCTTAATTTGCTGATTATCCCCAGTATGCTAGCCATAACTAGATAGTTTAGTTTCTCAAGATATGCATGGGTATCTATACATTATTTTTGAAGTTTCATCATGTTAGCTTTCTGGACTGTCCAGCGGAAGTATGTATGTAACTTTAAAAGAGTTTTAACACTTGCATCCCTAAAAATGGGAATTAGCAACTTCACTGCTTATTTGGATGATTCAGGCAATTAGGCTCCTTCGAGTAACACGCAACCTTTTAAGTGACGAAATGGCTTTTAGAAAAGCTGAATTGAAAAAGAACGATTAAAAATGGTCTTGGGATAAAGTGCTGTATCGTTGTTTTTCGATGACCAAACAATCTCATTGAAGGAGATGAACTAGCAACTAGTTGTTGTTCATTGCTCTGGCAAAAGCTTGAGAATGAATGAGCTCCATTAGTTAGGTAACCAAGCCAGATCTTTTTTTTGGCTCCTGCTGCATCAACTGTGATCATCTAGATATACGAGGGATCAAGTGCGGAAAAACCTCAGGTTTCATTCTCACAGTCTTTAACCAGGGGAAAGCTATGATTGATCGCAAGAAAAGTTGAGCCTCAACTTTGACTAGGGTCTCCTTAACAACTTAATAAGCAAATTAAGTGTTTCCTTGTCAACTTTTGTCAACTTTCTCATGGAGCCTGTCACTGGCGACCCACACCATTGAGCAAAGCCTTTTAACTTCTAGTCACCATTCTTGTCAATGAATGAAGTTCAACATGGCATCAATTTTTCTTTTTCTTCAATAGGGATTGCAGAAAAAGAACAGGAGGATAAAAAGCCAGCTTGCGAAGCCTAAAGAAAAAGAAGCATATAGATGCATTCAATTGAAAGGTGAATGAAACTGTTGAGAGTAGTGGAGCACTTGGGGCTGTTGGATTTGGAAAGAGCTCTAAAGCTTGGAGACTGATACTACAGTGATATCCGTTTGTGTGTAGTGGATGAATTGTTCCTGCTTTTCTTGATTGATCCTTAATAAAGTAAAAGTCCGAAAGATGACCTTTTGTAGTCTGCTACTAGTTTCTTGATAAGAAGCAACATATACTGAGATATCGCAGGTTTGAGCTTCTATTTTGTTTTGAAGCCAAGGGTTTTGAAAGTACCTCACAAAGCGGTAAAAAAAATTTTAAAAACAAGTCCATATGAAATTCCTTTTATAGTTTTGAAAGTACCTCACAAAGTCATATTTCTTCTTAGAAAAAGAAATTTTCGGAAAAAGAGGTCGTATGCAACCAAATACTGTGGTCGTGTGTGTCCCTTCATTATGAACTAGACTCTGAGGTCGTGCAAACGCATATGTGATTAAAAACTAATGTAAAGTAGTTTCAAATCTTAATGAAATTTGGACGGGGGAACCCAAGGTGTATATACAGAGTAGTTTTATTTGATTGGAAACCAGCATATTCTACGAAGCACTTACTGTAATGCTTTTCTGATGTTTTTTTTTTACTAAATACATAGCGCAGTTTGTTTTGTTTTCAGATGATGACGCAATACAGAATAAGTACTTCGAAGATTATGTTAGTACTCCAGAGATGCATGAATATTGGTGGTAGTAATGCTGGATAAAATGATCCGTTGACGAAGCAAACCGTGAAGAAATTTCAGTGCAAAACTATCTAACCAGAACCGTATCTTATTTTTCATGAAATTTTCTCTTGAAAAAAATGTAAAACGTATCATTGTATCATACAGTAAAAGTGCCCATATGCTGGCTTAACATTCATGGAAACAAAATGGATTACTCAAGACCAATATCATTAGATGTCACAAAGCATAACAACATCCATGATCTTATCTGAAAAGGTGGGGGGTAAAAGTAAAGACAGCAACAACACCCAGTGATCATTTACACCAGTATGCACGCACATATACACGTATATACTAGTTAAAAAAATGGGTCAACATAAATAAGACGTCGATAAGAACTTTCTTGGTGAGGAGAGATGAGACTAATCAGATTTGGATCAGTTTCTGCGAAGATGGTACGTGCTCCACTCTAACATGGCTACCGCCCCCTTCATATCCTTCGTACATGACCTCACTTCTCACATATTGCAAATCCTAAGGGATGCCACTAGCTCCCAATTTAGAGCAGATTCCACTAACACACTGTGCAATTGCAATGGAAGCTTCTCTGTCTACTCTGTGGTTGGCTGTATGAAGAATCCAGTTCGGTAACAAATTAATGGGTGAGTAATAACAAATTGTTTTCCCTTTAAAAAAAGAACAAACAAAATTGTTACGTGGTTAGTAAGTTGTCCAGGTTTCAAATACTTGATGGTCGGGCAACACTAGATAGATATCAGAAGCCAACTTTGAACGCCTCATCCGAGCTCCTCCAAAGAAACGAGCTCCTCTAAAATTGATCCTACCTTTTCCATTTTTTTTAATGAAAAGGTGAAAAAAGCTTTACCTTTTCCATTTTTTTTAATGAAAAAGTGAAAAAAAAACATACTTTCCATTAGTGAGAGTGAGATGATAACAAACAACTTACTAGGCACGACGGCCATAACATCAAAATATCATGGAAAGAGAACACAGTACATGCAAAAGAGAGACAACTATTTACCTCTTCTTGAAACAGAAGGGAGCACTTGCAACTACTTTAGCAACGAATTCAACGTAACAAGGTATCATTGTATGGCTTCAAATGATCTGGACATGGCAACGAAGTTTTGAAAATAATGTGTATATCATAATTCCTTTTGCGTACAATATCTTAGTTCTTCTACAAACTTTTGTCAAAAAGAACCCCCCCTAAAAAAACCAACATTTTACAACGAGAGAGGTTTTCATCCAAGCATACACTGTGATTTGTTGCAGATGATGATGAATCATCCAGTGTTTTCTGTAATTACCAACAGAATCATTTGGCTTCCGTCCGCAATAATATTGTAGGAAAAAGTGCCACCTGATAATTATTACATCGCTTTATCTTCAAGAACAAATCCATCAATATAACACAAGCACAAGAAAACTATGAGATGATATAGGAGTCACAATGGTCTGACTACATGACAAAATTTTAAAAACAGAATGTAGTCCTATAATACGGTATAAACAAGTTTCACAAAAGGAAAAAAAAATTCTGAACACCCTATTGGGTACAGAAAGATCTGATTCTGATGTAATGAACATTTGCCACATCTTTTAAAGCTGGGAGACCTTTAAAATTTTGCTCATATTGTCGTAGCAGCAAGGAATCCATACTGAGGACTTGAATAACGGTGATGGTATCTGCCAGTAATGGCAGAGCAATCGCCTATCTTCTGCAAAACTCTAAAACCAAGATGACTCTTTCACCTGAGTGTCACTTCACTTCCAGACCATCTCACCCATAAATCTCAGAGCAGGTACACCCCTAATCTCAACATCAACTAATGGTGCTTGGATTGAATTCAAATTCATGAGTTCAGGGTCGCTTTGGATCATCTGAAGGGCACGCATTTGGTCCTAGAACAGAAACATATACTTTGTCAGATTCTCTATTGAAGCCATTCATATAAGACATCCATTTTTTAAGTTTTCTATAAAAGTTAAACTGTTCAATCTCGATTGCATGATTTTGAGTACATATCTTTCTGATCGTCATTCCAACTTCCAAGTGTACATCTACTTCTAAGCTACAAACAGAGAAAAATTTGAAGGAGAGCATACATAAACATTAATAAAGAAGATTTATATACTTTTATACTTAAAGACGTATAATTAGTCTTTTATGTTTAAGGATATAGGATCATAGTATCTAGAAAGAGAAATACTTTTTTTCCCTTTAAGTAATGGGCCACACCTTCCTTTTCATAGAGCAAAACTTGCAGTCTGATGCAGATGGCGGTAGAACCTGATTGACAATAAGCCTTCTGACAGGTACACTTTCTTTCTTCAAGGAACCACACAGTCTCGATGATTCACTAACAGCCATGACCTTACAAAACATGAAAACACAGGAATTAAAAATCAGATATTTTTTCGAAACCTCCAGGTGCTTGTGAAACAAAACATGCAGGTGTATGATGAACAGCCAAAACATCAATGAGTTATGAACTTAGCAATTATGTTCTCAGTACAAATAGATTGGCATCCAGCCAAATATAAATCACCCATCAAAACCACCTATCCACAAACACTACTCACTCTATTTTTAGTTCCTCTACTGAATTTCCTTACATCCAGATGATGAACCAATAAATAGCAGGAGATATTCACAAAGCACGTCTCTGAGGTTATATGATTCAAATTAGATATGCGTCAATATCTCATCTAAAATGGCTAATATAGTTTCATAGTGTCCTCTTTGCTAATGTAAATGCAGATAAGCATCGGTGACTGGTTCCAAATTGAGAGATTTTTGTAAGCAAGTGCCGAGTCTAATCCATACATATTATACTCGTTCATACTTCTGTTGGTGTGTGTGTGAGAGAAGGGGGGAGACAGAGACATATCAAATCTCAAGATTCTTTAGGTCATGTAATTACCGTAGGGATTGTTACAATAATGAATTCAGTCGACTCTGTGTCGCGGAACAGCTCTCGCACTTTGACCATCCTCTCTCTTAGTTGCTCTAGCTTGCCAGACTACAAAAGGGGAAAAAAATAAAGTAATTGCGTTTTTCTATCAAGAAAATACTTTATGCCAAGGAAATTGAGCTTACAGCATCCGCCTGAGATTCTTCTTTCCCAAAGACAGATTTAATAGCTGATGTTGCTGAAGCTATTTTCTGCCTTAACTGTAACAAAAAACAATGACTTAAAATTAAATATGAAAAAAAGACAGTAGGCTCTTAATTAATTCTCCTCATCAAGAGATGAAGGTATTTTAACTAATTTATCAAATTTCATACAGTTGTACAGTCTAGCCGTTTGAAGAGTTCCCATAGGTTTTTGTAAAAGAAGATAGGACGAAGAATTTATCTTCTCATGTTTAAAAAATAGTCAAACATTACTCATTTAATAAGAAGTTAAGAAATTCCCATATCCAATTACATATTGCTCAGTAACCTGAAATGAACAATTGCATGAAGTGAAACATGCAAGCTCTCAAGTCTCAACATGTAGCATGCCAAACTGCATCTCATGCTTATAATAACAAATGTGTAATCTTAAAACATTCTTCAATAAAATGCTGAAATGCAGGAGTCTCCAAATCCCAAAAGATATGGAAAAACATTAGGCCAGAAGTATCATTGCGGGGGTGATCTGAGAACCAGATCAAGGGATAAGCTCAAACTGCTTTGATGACTTAGGCCATCAGCATTACTACCCAAGTATTTTCCAGTGAGTAGTGAGGTTCTGGTTTCGCGAACGACTCAAATTGAGAGGCTCCAATAAAGGATTGATCAAACTTTTAAGACGGGCTATCATCCCAGTCTCAACCGTTGTTTAAAAAAGCAGTCTGGGCTCCCGCCTACGTCTACATGGTACTCAGGCTGCCTGCCTAGTTCTTGGGAGAGCCTAGGGGAGCACGGACTACTTACGCAAACTGCACCACATCAAAAAGGGGTATATTGCTAACTTAGGCATAGCAATGGATAAAGAGAATGAGTTAAGAAAAATGGATTGGATCATGACTCTACCAAGTCCATCTTTAGATAAACAGTGAGTATAGAATTTTGAATCTTTTAAAAAGAACCCTTCATCTCTCAATGCTACCAATGCTTATGTGCCATTTAAGCGCGCCTGGGAACTAGATGCTTGGGCCAGCACCAAGAAGGGCCTAACAGTTCATAGAATATTGGTCTCAACTGTCCAGTGGTATGAAATTCCAAGCTGAGACACCTAAGAAGAAATGGTAACTTTGCCACCAATTGTGGTGGCTCAATAACACAAGTTAAAGAATCAATTTCTTTATTCGCAGTGAGTAGGGGTGAGCATAGTTCAGCTTGAACCGAGCTAACCGACTGAACTGGCTGAACTATGGCAGTTCAGATTGGTTCTAGGTATTCTTCGGTTTGGGTCTGGTTGGACAAAACTCAATCCGAACTGTCTGGTTGGACAAAACTCAACCCGAACTGCCTGAAACCGACCACTGTGATTAAAGGGTTATGGGGTTCTTTATTTTATTGCCAGACATATCTTCATATCCAAATATGCAAAGTTCAAACAAGTAGACTCAACCACACACATAATTCATGTTCAATTAAACATGTGCTTTCCTTCCTAAGATAATCTTGATTTGGTATACGCTAATTAGTTAGAATTTGAAACAAATTGAAATTTGAGAATCAAAAGAACCCTTCGACTTTCTTCCTTTCTCCTCTCGTCTTTTCTTTGCATTGAATATTGATACTCACCAAGTCATCATCTTCAATCCTTTGACTTTGGCGAGGTAGAGGAACTTGATTTTAATGTTTTTATTAGTTTTTTTGTTGTTTTAACTCTACAGTAGTGTAATTTCAGTTAAATGTTTAGTCACCACTTGATGATTGCAAACAATAAAATTTTCATCTTTACCTGGCTCATTAACAGTTTAACATTATGCTTGCAAACATGGAATAGAACTTGTATTTTGCTGTGGATTTTCTTCGTTATGCATGTGATGCTACTTTGATGCCATATTATGTATCTTATGCATCGCAACCATTATTTTATTCACTGGGACTTGAGTTTGTTGGGCTATTTGGAATTTGTATGAGCCATGTCCGCTCCATAAATATTATTTACTAACAAAAACTCAGTTAGTTGGCAGCCATGTACTCTAATTCCATTATTTGCTAACATACTCGAGTTAGTTTGGCAAAAAACAGAGAGCAGATGATTTTTCATCAATGGAGGTTTACGAAAGCATTGCTACTTGCTAGTGCACTGACAACCCGAAGAAACTGACTCGAAAGAACCGAACCGAAATTGATCGTTGCATTTCGGTTGCAGGAATCATTCGGTGCAGTCACAGTTTGTAAAAAATTTTATCAAAACCAAGCCAACCAACAGACGCTCACCCCTAGGAGTGAGCTAATGGGAAAAAAGTCTTCTGAAATTAATCTTCACGATGGTTGCTAAAAGGATTCCTAATGATAGATCCGACTAAGTTTCACGTTAGTTGTCAGCTACCTAACGCAACCTCCTTTATCTTGTCTTTTGAGACATGTAATAAAAAGATGAGTTAAACCCCGACACTGGAGTTGTCTTATAGAATTTTCTATCTCATAGGTATTCTAGAGTCCTATGCAACCACAGACTACTGCAAGATTGAAAGAAAATTCTACAGAAAAACTACAAGACCAACAATGTTTTCATGGATCAGAACATTTGGCACCTAAAAAACATGTGAAAAAAACGAGTGTAACAGAAATGAGAATGTTGTGATGGTCTTAGGGATATACACTAAGAGATGAGATAATAAATGACAGTACTCAAAAGATGTTACAGATTGGTCCTATTGAGGATAAAATGAGAGAATCAATTAATATGGCTGGTCACATATTAAGGAAACCAACAAATGAAGCAATCAGGACAACTGGAGGAGTTGTAAGATTATATCTAATGTGGCAAAGTGAACTAGAGATAGATGTAAAAGAACTTGGTTGGAAGCAATTTAGAAGGATATGACAATTGTTGTTTGTTAGCTCAATGCATGAGATGAACCATAAAAAACTCAATGAAGAAATAAGATTCATGTAGTCTACCCAAAAAAAATTTAAGATAAAGGCTATGTTGTTGTTGCAATGCTTGCTAAAAGGCCATTTCTATGGCACTAGACAAGTTAAAGAAAAAAAATGCAGACAACTTTCCTCGAATAAGGTCCAGCGGCCCCAGGCTTCATCAAAATTTTACATCATCATCTTATTACTTTATCAACTCTCTCTAGCATATACAAGTAACAAGCTTCACCAGAATAAACCAGGCCCAGACCAAGCTTCAGGAGCCCTCACTGAGTCGGGTCTGATTTTGATCAGGTTAGCCGAGCTAGCCTTTTTTTTTAATAAGAGCCAGCTATTAAGCTACTGGTAATTAGTTTTCACTGGACAAGATACGAATATGAAGGAATTAAATTAAATTAGGCCATAGTTTAATTTAAGTGATCAAGTTTGTTCAGTCAACTAGAGTTAAAAAGGTTCTCTAAGAGGTCCAAATTTGGTTTTCTAATAGGTACAACAGGATTTAAGCTACTGTCCAACATGAGCTCTCAGGTCAGAAGCTGGAGTCTGCACTTGATCAAAATTCTTTTCATGCCAACCCATCAAACTAAAACGCAGGAGAAAACCATTTTTCCATAAGTTTAAGCAAAATTTCTCAGCCAAAGAGAGGAGGCTTTATTGTTAATACAATACGTCATGTTTCTCTGCACTATTTTCTGTTCCAGAAACTTTGCATCTCCAACATAGAAAGTTGATAATGCAGCAATATGAAGGAAATATTTAACAGGCATAGAGAGATTTTCTTGTATGATTGACTTCCAGCAGACCGTCAAAGGACCACTTTCATCCAAAAAGAGGTATTGGTTGTTATTGCACGTCAGACGAACTTCACACTCGATACTCCCTCTAGCGTTAAAAGCCTCCCGTGTAAACATGACTGCTTGGTATTTTGAATGCCATTAACTAGGTTTTGACTCAGGACACCTCCTAATGCTCTAATGCCAAATATGTAAGTTGATGCATAGTGGGCCAATTATGCACATCAAGCAAACGTAATGTAACCAGAAGTTGGAGAAAAGATCCATGATAAAAGTGATGCCAAGCTGACATACATAGAAACACAATAATTACAGAGTTTTGAAAGTCAATTTCTCCCTCCCAAAATAATGATCAAGCTCAGTGACCTTTCGCCTTGTTTGAGAAGGCCTTGGGAGTTCACATGAGGAGAGAGAAGAAAGTGTTCAAGATGGAGAGTTACTCCATAAAGATTCAGGCACATGTACTATCACATTCAGAATTCTGCTTAGTGATTTTGTTATGTAATTATGGTCTCCCGAAGTCATTCAGAGATTAGCCAATAAAGAAGTAAAATAGATAACCACATTCCTTCAAAGAGGTAATACAATGTGAAAAATACAAAATAAAAGGCTAACCACAGTAAAAGACTAAACGTAGTTCTCTCTCAAGAGGAAAAAAAAACATCATGAGAAGTAGCATACTTATAAATTAAACAAGTAATGGTTATCCAGTAAAAGTTTTTAAGTCATATAAGATTCAGTTTTAAAGGACTTAACAGGTGATCCCTTTCCAGAACTCATACCTTCAAGATTTTGCCAATGGATGCATCCAAAAAGTCAGGCAAGGACAAAAGCCTAAGAGTATGGCCCTAACAAAAATATGAGAATGGAATTGCATCAGTAAGGTACATATAACACTATTTTACATTAGAAGCTAACAAATGGCAAACAATACTTCCAAGGAAATAGCAGAACAAAAAGAAATATAGTCAGGAAATATGTACTTACTGTAGGAGCAGTATCGAATACTATACGACTAAAAATATTATATTCTTGTGATTCAACAAATTGCATAACCTAGAAAAAAATCTGACGGGCATCAAAAACTCAAGTTTCTGCCCATAAAATAAAATAAAATAAAATAAAACAAACAAAACAATCTATGTTTAATAGCTTGACTAAAATATCGTACCTTTGAGATTGCAATTGCTTCATCCAGCCCTGGGGGAGGTGAGTCCAGTAACTCTCCTAGTTTGAGTTCTCCTAGCTTAACCATAACAAACTAAAATGTAAGTAAAACACAAGAAACATATGCAAAAACCTCACCATATAGCAAATCAGTCTGCCAACAAATAAATCCATATGCTGGCATAGAATAGAAGAAAAATGCATAACTATGAACAAGGAGATATAATTCCACTTGTATGAAAAGAATCATTGAACCAAAAACTTGAGCAAATCACACACTTAAGAATGCATTCCCTAAAGTAACTTTCAGCTTATTATAGGGAAAGCAATGTGCCAAAACCTGTAAACCTTATGCGAGAAAATATTGGAATAAACAGTACTCTTGAGGACTTTAATAGACAACAGAAAAAAATGAATTTCTTTCAGTCATTGTTGCAATCCATGATGTCATTAGATTCTACCTGGTCAGCAAGCATTCCAAGACCCATACTGTCCATAAAATCTTTAACTCCAGTACCTCCATTTTTTTGACTTGCACTGCGGAATTCGTCTCTGGCCTTCTCAGGATTTATCTGCAAATGAATATTTCTAAAGATCGTGCCAAGCTATCAAATTTGAACTACTGGAAAGTAAACAATTTGCAGAAGATGAAAAGTCGAATTATCTATTGCAAGGCAACTAAATCTTCTTTGTTCTATCTATTTAAATAAATTATAAATATTAACCTCAAGTGCATATAGTGGAGAATCCAATCCATCAACAGGCACCAAATTTCCTCCACTCAAGTCCTAGTAACAAGCGGAACAAATTAGTGTGGATTTAAAGGATTGCCATCAAAACTTTCGCTAAAATTAAGATCAGATGAGATCATAAATGAACAGTACTTTGAATCTAAAGCCAACTCTAATCACATACTTGTGCAAAAGAATCACTTAGAGAGTGAGCAGGATCAGTTGAAACCACAATGGTAGGATGGCCATGATTTGCAAACTTAACAGCAAGAGAAGCCGCACAACTTGTTTTTCCTACACCTCCTTTTCCACCAAGCATGTAATATTTTCTCTGAACACCAGCAGCCATCTCGTCAAATCCTGCTGTCGCTTCTGCCGGGGTAGCAATGCATCTGACTGCAAAAGGAGTGAAATCTTTTCAGATTGACTGACTACTGTCTACACAATGAGAGTTTCGATTATAAACAATTTCGGACCACATCGTGAATGAAATAAATAAGGTAGAGAAGTTCCCAAAGTAATCTTGAAAAAAAAATTGAGATGGTTTCATTCTACAGATTATGGTGTATACTTAGCTACAAATAGCACCTACGTTTGATTCTTTAGCACTAATACACCAAATGCAAAGCAAGCCTGCACCGATTACATAATTACATTATGGTTGCCATGGCAATATGCGCTCCATGAATGTTTTACAAGAAACCTATCGTGAGAGGCTTCGACCTCAGATACAATATTCCACAAAAATTTTAGCAGTAAATTTATTTGGATAGATGCGGACCAATTCATCTATTAGAAACAAGGGTTAATTGCAAATAAACCCCTTGTAGTATCGCCTAACTGCGAATAGGCCCCCCGCAGTTCTATTTGAATAGAACCCCTTGAGGGTTTTTTTTTTACTCTTAAAATTGTTTAAAAGGTTTTGAGGAGACAGATAGACCCTCTATAGTTCTATTGGTGAGGATAGAGTTATAGACCACCGGC